CAGTGCTCTTGTTTTTTTGGTTCATGGTCTGCAGCTTATAAGTGTTTGGATGCAGTGTGCATAGGAACAAATGAATGTGTATATTTGTGTATATATGTAAAGACTAGTATATCTATTTACACAATCGACTTTTGAGTGTCATGGATTCATAAGTTAGGCACGGATCATGAGGACCATTTTGAGGACTACTGGAGGGAGAAGAGGTTTGATGAAAGGAGTTATCCCATTTCAGATATAATCACTACATTACACATAGTGCAATTCTTTATATATAGTACTGTCTATACATAATGTTATATTTGTTAGATCTAACACTTTGTTGAATTGTCTTAAATAAATATTTAATTAATTAATTAATTAATTCATTCATTCATTCCATTAAAGAACTGTGAATAACTATTGCGCAGGGACTCTTCAACCGTGAGCTGGTTAGGGAAAAAGTGCACCATTTTGAAGTTTAACTTCTTTAAGTAAGTCTGCTTAATCTTAAAAACATTAGCATCTAAGCCATTCTATGGCCTGTGGAAATATATTGAGCATATATTGAGCACTTAAGACATTCTGTGGCCTGTGGAATATATATCTGACATCCCCCTCCGGGAGATGTTAAATATATATTCCCAATACTGAATATTACTCCAACAAAAAAGGATTAGTGTCATTTTTGTAGTTGGTGCCAAATGCTTTTCCCAATGTCAGTCCTCTGCATCTACACATTGTGGTAATCTGAGTAAGCAAATGTTATCTGGCAGCCTACCTGTTAATTTTAACATAGATAGTGCTTCTGTTATTAATGAATGTGTCACAAGTTAAAGAGAAAAAAAAGGAAAGATCATAGCATCTCAAATTAGAAGACCATAAATCATGCTGAAGGGCATGTTAAGCCAGTGAGAGGTTGAGTCCCTCTCCGTGCCTTTGAACATGAAAAACAAAACTATGAAAAACAATATATAAAGGAAATATATAACAATGTATTGAGCTACATCTAAGTCCAATCTTAATGCCACTAACATAACTGGAATGTTTGATAATCTATGAAAAAATGCTGGAACAGGTGCACGTACCTTTATCAGGTAATGGTTGTTACTGGGCTGCACCTGACTAGATATGGGAATAAAAAACAAACCCATTGAGTTGCTATTCTAAGTTCAATAAGTCAGTTCTTTGATCGAGGCCCCTCCGTCAGCATGGAGGTGGTGGCAAAGCTATAAAAAAAAACCCAACAAAACAAAGCAGGAGCTGTCTCAGCTGCTGCCAGTATGCATCATCTGTTTAATCAAACTTGTGAGAGAGTATATTCCCAGGTTACTCTCACCGCATCAATGCTTTATTTGTACCTCCCTGATCATCACAACACTGGGTAGAATAACTGCAGAGATAAAATAGCCTAATGCAATTCATCTGATTCAAGAAAGGGAGATTGCAAGACGCTAACTATAAAAAAATGAATAAAACTCAAACTCCTAAATGGAAAAATATAATACTAGTTTGATGCAGAAGATTCAGAATTGGCATTTTTTTATTTTTAAACTGCCATTGACCATTACTGATAAGTTTATCAGAAGAAACTGGATTAGTAAAAAAGTAACTTTTTTCATTCTTCTGTTAATGAAAATATACACCAAGTCAACAAAGAATAAACACAGAGATTTATGTTTAATAAAGCTCACTGTCCTTGTCCTGTGAAAGGCTTTTATGAGTTGCCAAATACAGTTTAAAAAGACAAAGCTGAATTTTATATTGGTTTTAAAATAAGACTAAACTCCTTGTTTTCTTTATTTCCCTTTTCTAAAGGTATATTACCTAAATAATACAAACACACAGAAAACAAACACACAGAAAAACAAGGATGGTTTAATACTTTTTCCAAATATGAATTTAGGACAAAAGGCTCTCTTTCACACATGCTGTGAAATCTGGTTCTGATATCAACTTTACTCCCAACATGCTCAGATTGATTATGTATTCCAAAACTGTTGAAGCCATTTATGTTAAGAAAAACCAACTTTAAACAGAAGGGGTTGACTCAGGTTTCAGTTTTCAAAAACCTACAACGCAGCGTTCAATCCTTCCCACTGTAATTGCAAACCCCACACCAATACAGGGGCCCAAACATCTTGCCTGTTCATCCAGGCCAACAATTCCCACAAACACCCCCCCTTGCAGGGGAGTAGACAAGTATTGTGTATTGCAGGCTGACAAAGAACCCAAACGTCTCCCCATTTCTAAGGGACGGACCCGTTCTTCTGGTTGAATTTGCATGTTTTTTAAGCCAAGACAAGGCGTCGTTTAGGTCGACTCTATAAAGCCTCTAACTCAACAATAATTATGACATTTTGAATAGAAAAAGCTTCCTGGATGGGAAGAGAAACATCTTCAAACTTGGAAACAAAGTTTAGTGGATTTTTTTTTTTTTTACTTTTTTGGAATAACTATGACCTGGATGACTGAGAATCTTCACCAGCATATTACGTAGATATGCAGCTTCTTTTAACAAAGGCTGATCGTAAAGCAGTAGGTAACTAAACATATTTAGTGAACAGATTTTTAAAATGAATTATTTTGCAGCGGCTCTGCACATTGGCACAGTGAGTAGCACTTCTGCCTTGCAGCAAGAAGGTCCCGGACTTCATTCCCGGCCCGGGGTCTTTCTGCATGGAGTTTACATGTTCTCCCTGTGCATCAAGGGTTCTCTCCTGGTACTCCAGCTTCCTCCCACAGTGACTGTTAGGTTAAATGGCCTCTCTAAATTCTCCTTAGGTATGATTAAGTGTGTGAATGGTTGCTTCTCTTTGTTGGCCTTTGATGGACTGGTGACCTGTTCAGGGTGTACCCCACCTCTCAACCATTGACACCTGGAGATAGACACCAGCAACCCCCATGACCCCAGCAGAGATAAGCGTGATGGAAAATGGATGGAATGGATGAATAATTTGCAGCAGTTAGGTTTCTCCTGTTTGCTTATAATACACCTATATTCTTGTCCCTGCAAAGGTTAGCATGCCAGACTGTAAGTACCTTGTACAGAACTGAACTTGTGGCTTCAGATGGTGAAAGTTTAACAAGGACGTTGATGCCAGATTATTTCTGAAATCACTGCCCTGTTTGTAATTGTCTACCAACAGATCAGGAATTAATAGGATTGCGGGCTGTGATTTTTATATAAGTGGTAAAAACACCATATGTTATTTTCTCTCAATTTGCCAACAAAAATCCCAAGGAGGGAATCCCTACCTCCCTTTATAGACTGTGACCATTCACCACAGAATAAATTTCCCCTCTAAGACGGATTACCAGCGCTGCTGGAAGCAGACCAGGTACGATTTTAGATTTTGAAATAATTTTTTCAAATGGTTTTAAATAATTGGTAATTATTCACCAGCTTATGACTTCATAATTGTAACACACAGCCCATTGTTAATCTACAATAGATAAATTGAACCATGCAAGCAGTCAATACACATCTAATGAGCCCTCAGGGACATAGAAGCTGAGAGAGCACTGAATCAATATCGATCTGAAATAGATCTTTACCTCCCTTTGGCCATCTGTAGAAATAGAGTTAGATGCTGTTAGAGTCCATATCCTTTTCTTATTGTAAAAGTCATCCTATCATCTCTTTAAGTACGGAGGTGAGGCTTTGATTATTTTTGTATTATAATGTAATATTGCCTGATAATAATGTGTATTTGATTTGTTTTTTTTATAAGAATACTTGTCCAGAAAGTCCCCTCATAATATACAGAAAACCTATTTTGATTATAAGGTGTACTTAAAAAGATGATTATGAGAAGATGAACTAACACTATACACTATAGAATGGCACCATACAATTGGTGTGTTGTTACAAAAAAATACAGGGTTTATAAAAATAGAAGAATAAATCAGTTTTTTTCTTTCCCTTATTTGATGGGAAACAATTGTCATATATTTTGAAATGATCTTGTACAATTTATTATATATCTTGCAATATGGTGTACTTCGACTTAAAGTTGGTGATCTATCACTATATTTTTTTCACAGTAATTGTATACGATGTAATCACTTGTAGCTGTTTGGGTTGTTTTTTTTTGGTTTTTTTTAGATACTACTACACCCATAACCTAGATTTTCTATGAGTCCGAGATACATCTTTGTAAATCATAACTGCTTTTGAAAAAAGAAAGTTTGCAATACTAAAAGGAATATAGTTTAGAGTAAGCTATTTTTGTATTTGTTAACAATTAAATGCAAAAGACAAACTTAAATCTTTATTAGCAGGTCAGTTTTAAAAATCTTCCTTGGAAATTTATTTAAAAATAATGTTCACCTGGACAACAACCTCGACTTAAGACACAACTGTAAAGCCGTCTACACAAAGCGACATAACAGGCTGTATTTCCTAAGGAAGCTCAGGTCCTTCAGTATTTACAGGAATATGCTATATATTGTCAATACCCGGTAGGTTTGTTGTGGAGAGTGTGTGATTTGTTCTGCCATCATCTGCTGAGATAACAGCATCAGAGCAAACCCCAACAAGCTGATAAAGAAGGCTCTGTTCTAGAAACCCCTCTAGAACCACTGGAGGGGATTTTACAAAGAAGAATTCTTTGTGAAATAAAATGCAGAACATTACGGACAACCTCAAACATCCCCCTCAAAAGACTGTCTAACAACAGAGTGTCTTTTTTTCAAAGGCTTCTCCAGTACCGCTGCAAGAAAGACCACAACCAAAGACATCCTCTACATAAACTGGTTAAACGAAACCTTATGATGAGTTACTAAAACATTTGATTTCCCAATGAAGTATTTTCAAATTTTTATTAAATTGAATTGGACTTAATTAAATCAAATTGGATTTTAATTAAATTGAATTGAAACAAAGTAATGAATCAGTCGACATCATGATATAAACACTCTGTGGGGAACCATATTGTTAAAGAAAAGACAAACCTTAAGTAACTGTCTAAAACTGGACATTGAGGATAATGCTTAATATGACTGCAGGAAAGTCAGGATACCTCTGATACAGGGTGTGACACAAACTCTTCAAGATGCTGTGTGGTGCCATTATCTGCAGCAATTTCAATCCGACATGACCCTCCTTGTTTGCCAACAGGCAGGCTGAATCTGTAAAGAGAGAAAACAGTGAGAGAGATAGAGAGCGCAGAGTTAGTGGGAAAGGCAGATCAAAACAATATCTGAGACTCACAATAAATCCAGTAAAGCATGAAAACATTCTGATGCTGAGGGAAAAAAAGAGCAGTCACAGTAATGGAGCTGCTAATATGACCATTGAGAATATACCATAAACTGACTAGGTATACATTACATACAGTTTTATGAGGATTTTTATGCAGTAGTAGATTGGCTTGGAAGCAATGGTGCGTTTGTATCACTCCCCACCAGCTATAACCCAGGAGAGACTAAAACAGACTATGTTTTGGATTTAAATAAAGAAAGAGACACCAAAATAGTTTTCTGCTCAGCGCTGCAGTGATATTCTTTACACTGCTGTTTTCCTCAGAAAAATGTGAAATTTACATAAAGAGATACGCAGTCATTACCAAGTTCATTTATATGATAAAATTACAGTAAATGACATCCATTAAAATTCCAAATAAACAAACTTAGAAAAAAAAGCTACTAATAATTACAATATTCTTAAATAAATAAACTAATCAGCCTCACAGACATATTCAATCCTTGCTGAAGGAGCTGATTGTGTCACTCAGAATTAATTAATATAAAAATTAGGGCAGAAACCACAAATGCCTTATAACCCTAATGAGAAGGAAGACAATTTTATCATTTGACCTGCTGGAACTCTCAGGAGAAATGTGCAGTTGCACTAGTCATTACTGTTGTAGTCATAATGTTAAGTAGCTGGTCCACTTGTGTCACACTCCAACACTGGCAAAGTCAAGCGATTCCCTCTCCTCAATCCATCAATGGTTGCTGCTGGCTCTATACAATCAAGGCCTCTATATTTCCACAGGTTGCATATGGACTCCATCTTTCATATAAAGTTGATTATTATGTTGGGAAGTAATTCGCAGGAGGCACACTTATTTCCCTCTGGGATTATTAAAGTATGTCTGATTCTGATTCTACAAGTTTACTTAGCACCTCCTGCTGAAACGTTCCACAAATGATACAGAGCAGCTCAAAGGTGTTTATACCTGTATTAAAAATCCTGAGTTTTGTGACTTACAAAACTGTCGCCATTTTAAATGAATCCAAAATGTTTCCTGCTAATAAAGTGGCATATTTTGTTTACAACTGAAAAAAAAAACTCCTTAGGGAGAAAGGTAGACACACAGACATACAGATATCTGCATTTGAATAGTGCAATTATCAAACCAATGATTACAAATGAACTGATACGTGATTCATTGACATTCATCAAATCGATCCTTTGATGTACTTTGATTCAGTTTTATCATTCTAATTATTTCCGTACTTCTTTCAGCATGTTGAATCTTGACCCCAAGGTAACTTGAAGATGTTCTCAAAAAACAGCCCAAACCACCAGCCTAGGTGATCTATTAACAAATAAGACCAGAGAAATTTGCTCCTATGGAGGAATGGGATAGACACTTTTCCAAAAAAATTGTTAAACCATTGGGGGAAAGGTTTATATCTAAATTTTATTTAAGAATGTATAAGAAAAAATATTTGTACTCTTCTAAACTACCGAATAGCTTTCCCAGATACAGGCTGCCAGCACCATGTATTACAATGGGAATAATGCAATTTTTCTGTAAAAAAATTCTGTTGCAAATCTGGTTTAAATAAGGTTTATGAGATGTTGGCCTTTCAATCCTTGCCTAAATATGGAAAATATGGAGTATATTTACAATATATACTTTATTTTGTCGTATGTAAAATAATCTAGCATTTCGTGCTACTAGTTCGGATTTTCTTTTCAGTTATGTTTCTTTTTTTTTTATCTACAGAAATGGAGAAGCCTGATTTCTGATCATCACAATTGTCTCTCATTTGACCAGACATTTTTTCCTTTTTTTTTTCATACATATGGTGTTGACCAGTGGCTTTTTAAAATTTTTATACATATGGTGTTGACCGGCTGTTTTGTTTTTTTCAAACATATGTCACAAAAAAGTGAAATGGTCCAAATGAAAAACTTGGTGGAACGATTTACAAATTAGTGAACCACTGTATGTCATGCTGGTAATGTGACTCTACAACATCTACCGACTCACTCCTTGTGACTGGTTGAGTGTTGATGAGGTGAAAGTCCCAAATGTGTGCTTTAGTAGCCAGATGGAAACAATAAGGGCAATTGCCCTCCTGCTAATTTGAAACAGTCTTCCAGGACACCTCCCTGAGGCAATCCCACACACATAACCTCAGGCAGGACTAATTACAGGTGTGGAAATCACAAGAGCTCTTTTGTGCACACATATGTGCACACAAACATGCGTTAATGCACATGCAAATTTAAGGTTCAATATATGAAAAGCAACCTAATGTCCAGAGTACAAGGAGAAAAGAGCTGTTATCATCTGCAGGGTGCCTGGTCTGTTTCACATGTCATTCTTCATTGTTAGCACAAAAGTAACTGTTTAGAAAGAGGCTTTAGAGTAGCAATTTATTTATATATAAACTAACTACAGAAAGATATGAAATATCATAGAATTATTATAAAACTGTCTGCAGCTGAAAGTGTTTGATTTAAACTTCAGCGGTTTGCACAGAGGGGATTTTTTAGTGACTACTAATAGTCCAAAAAACAGCCTCTGCCTAAGCAAACAAGATGATGTCTCCTGATGAGCTCTCGTCAGCACAGTGAATGCTCCACTCAGCTAATTTACATTGGTCAGGCTCTAAGGAAAACAAGGCTATTTAAATACATAACTATTTCAGGCTTCTTAGCTAGACAACTGAAGCTATTCCTTTTGGGTTCACATTAACATTGCAAATAGTACTAAAATTCACAATGGAGGGTGTCTCCCAAATATATGAATGAAAGAGAGGAACAGGAGGCTATTGATGCAGATATTAAATCATCTGGAACTAGGGTGTATAAGCTTTTTTCCCTGCTTGATCTCAAATAATCGACCGGAGTAATGCCCCAGCTTTAGATATACAAACAATAACATGTAAGTATTTGTTTTTACTCGGCAAATAGAAGCAAAATATGGTGGAAAGCTCTCTTACTTTCTCAATCATCATTTATGTATTTGTTCATCTGGCTAATGGTCTAATCATAAGCAATTTGTCATCTATAAAGACTTCATTTATACTCTGCGTGTGTGACTAATTCGGGGCAACTGGATTATTGTAACTTTCAGCAATATAACCTACCGAAATATTACCTAAAATGTAAAGGTACCTGGTAAGTTTATTTTAGACACTGTACCTTCGTGCAAAGGTATTTGCTAAAGCTGATTTGGCCATTTGTCTTTTTAATGAAATGCGCCTCCTTCACAGTCCCCTGCAGAAAATTAGCAATGAGGGAGGATCATCATTAAAATATTACTACTGCATAAAACATCTGAAAGTATTGGCAACAGATGGCAGTAAAACATCACTGAGCACACTGGTGCCCTTGCAACCTATTTCCCTGACTGATGTGCTATTGATGACACATTTTTAACTGCTTGTTATTCTAGAAATATCTCATATTCCTTAAAAAACATTATATGGGACAGTACTATGTGAATTTATAATTTGTTGATATTTCAATGGTTTAGTCAGTGGCTATTGCTTCTTAGCAGCAACTGCTTAGTGGAGTTTTATGTTTATGAGCAAATAGAGTTTCTTCCTCATATGTTATACATGAACGATGAACACAAATACCACCTGTTACCATGATTTTAGTTGAAGCCGAACAGATTGAACAGTTGCATCAAAAAATAAAATAAAAAAGCCCCCATATGGTTAATATTCATGATTTCCCCATTCACCATAGTATCTACAACATCAAGAGAGAAAAATTTATTAGCTGTGTTTGAAAAGGTTTCACCACACCACATTTCTAGTCTGGCTATGGTGCAGTGGCTTTCTCACATGCAGCACTGCAGCATTTGCTGCATAATTTGTGCTGTGACCAGCAAGCCTCAATTAATTTGGGCAGCCTGTGTTTTGTCATCATATCTCTGGCGATACTATTAGATGGAAGAAAGCAAAGCTCCTGGCATTGTGGGGTTTCACAATGCAAAACTTCAAATGAGCAGGCATGGCTGCCGTCTAACTCCCCAGTGAATCTTTTAAGAGGAGGTCTTGTCAATAAAACACTGAATACAGTGGAACTAAGAAACTTACTCCGATTTGGCATAATGCTGAGAATGAAAAATATTTAATATTAAGATTTAACTTTCAAAGTTCAAATACTATAGGACATTTAGTTAAATGAAAATTAAAATTCATTAAAACAAATAACCTGCATTCTTATATGCTGCTTATGTACAAAAATGCAGCAAGTGAAGGTAATTATTTAATATTTGAGAGATTTATTTTTTTTATTAAAAAACAAATATTATGTAAGGCTGTTTTGAATAATGTTACTTTAAACCTTATCCACTTAAATAGACCGAAAAACAGTAAAGACAGATGGAGACAGAGCCCTCTCAGCTCTTTATTAAACAGTGTGATATTGAACAAGCTTACACAGATAAACAGGTGCTTTAGAAACTGGGCTGAATTTGAATGTCGCAAGCTGGATTTCTTTGACATTAATTCAAAGAAGTCTGACTCATGAGATGTCCTAAAAGTGTCTTTTCAGTTTTTTTCCCCCTTCACAGCACATGTCTGTTTTCCTTCTCTTACAGAGGCTGTTGCTATGCAACACACACCCACATGTGCATCCTTACATTTAAAAACTTTCTCAATGGTCAATGAACAGCAGCAGTAAAAATTCCAATCAAATTCTACATGTAAACAGTGCATGATACTTAGTCATTAGTCAAATGTGTTTTTGATATTACAATGTTTAAATTAACACAATTTGCTCTGTTGTAGCTTTATGTTGTCTAAGGGGTAATAGTGCTTAAGGCAGGGACTGAGGCTCTAAATAATAAAGCTATTTCTGCAAAACTAATGAGAGCTTTCAAAGAAATGTACTGTATTTGCCATGAAAGGGGGACCCAGTGAAAGTTAGGAGA